TGGCAGCGCCGCTTGCTCCTGTGCCTCGGCGTGGTTTGGGGCTAAGCAGCCCTGACCTGGGGTGCTGGTGGTTGTGCTCTTGCTGACAAGTTCATAAAAATGAGGATGCTGGGCATTAGGACCAGGATTAGGACCAGGAGGATAATGTCCAGGGCTGGTGGCTCCATGCGTTGGTTGTCTCCACACCCATGGAGCTTTGTGGAACCTAGCTTTGGTCTCAGAGTTGCTCATACTCAGTCGCCCAAACCTCCCTTGAGGCTATTGCTGTGGAGGGGGATGTGTTGAGGGAAGGGAGCAGGGTGGTGGGTGCTTGGGCAGTGGAGAGCTGGTGGAGCTGGCACATCTGCAGAGAGGGCTTGGAGGTGGTGTGGAGGCTTTGCCCGAAGCACTGGAGGCCCAGCGGAGCTGGCAGAGCTGCGGGGGTGGCCGGGGCTGGGCTCGCCCTGGGAAGGGAGAGGATGATTGCATGGTTTTTCTGCTCCCTGGCTTGGGAATCGCAGGATCACAGAGGGCAGCAGAACGGAAGGATGCAAGGTGGGATGTTGGGGCACCGTATGGCCCGGCCGCTGATGGCACTCTGCCCGCTCTGGGATGCAGAGCCGCGCAGTCACCGCGGGCCACGTTCCCTACCCGCACCACTCCCCGGTGGGGATCCTCCCGCGGGTTACCCCGGGCTGAGTCAGAGTTGGGCGATGAAGAGCGGGAGGCTCTCCTCCTCCCCCTGGTTTTGGAGCAGCTTATCTGCCATGGCTGGGGGGGACCTGAGCGCTGAGCTCCTGTCCTGGCTGTGGACCTTGGTGTCTGTGGGATGGGGCGTGTGCTGGCAGGGCGGGGGGGATGGAGAAGACAGGGAGGGGGGTGCAACTCTAGGGCTGCTGAGCAGACACGGAGGGCAGAGCTGTCTGCATCAGCTACTTGCGGCCCCCTCCCCGCTACCACGGCTGCCAAAGGCGTGGGGTTTTGGCTGGCTTTTTGCTGCTCCATACTGGCGAGCCCCAGCTGTGGCACAGCAGCCTGCAGAGCTCTCCATCCTCCCTGCGTGTGCCCCCTCGTCCCTCCAGAGCCTCTCAAGCCAACCGCCTGATGACTGGCCCTGCGTTTCTTAATGCATATAAATGCCAGAAGGACGTGCTTCTCCTTGGCGTGCCCGCTTTCTCCCCCCCAACTCCTCCTGCCCATGGCCCTCCTGGGCTTTGTCAGGCGGGCAGGTGGCAGGGACGCAGGCAGCATGCCAGGGCTCTCGGCTCTCCCAGCTCCTTTAAGAGGTCCTCCTCTGTGGAGGGGCTGGGGCTGTGCTTCCTGCAAACTGGGTTTTTGCATCCGTTCCCAGTGCTGCCGTGGAGCACTTCCTCCGCGGCAGGGGCTGGTGGGGGGTGTTTTGTTAGGCTGCCTGCTAGAAGAGCGTGAAGCAGCAAAGTCTCTGCTGGGTAGGGTGGAACAGGCTTGGTACTGTGCAGGAAAGCCCGCTAACTCTGCTCTTCTTGTCTTTCTCCCTCTAGGGCTGACTGGACTGGCCGTGCCCACGATGCCCTGAACGCCGTGCGCAGTGGAAGCAGAGGAGACTGTGTCCCGTTAGCTCCTCCTCCCTCCCTCCCTCCCTCATCCCTTTAGTTTGGGTTTGTTTCTATTTATTTTGTGGCTGCACGCTCAGGTGGCGGAAGGGAGGGCAGGGTGGTGGTCCTCGGAGGGGGCTGCCGGATGGTGGTCGAGGCTCAGATGGCGGGGCAAAGCACATGGCAGCT